AAAGAGAACAAAGAAAGCTATATGGCAATTTTTAGGATTATCAAAACTAAATACAAGAAGAGCAATTAGTGGGATTGTTTTATAACTATATAAATGTCTAACCAATGTCCTATATACTTAAAACTAGTAACAAAACACAATTTTTAAAAAAGATCAAGGTAAAGAGAAAAAAATAAATACAAGAATTAGAGTGAAATGAAATAAGAATCTGGGGATTGTGGTGAAAAAACTCATTACATACTAAAAGGTGAGGCATGTGAGGCCGTAAGTAACAACTCATGGAGCTATCTAGACACAAATATTCAGAACCAGAATTTGTGAGAGCTGCCAGATTTCACCATGTGACTGTCACAAATACGGAGGAGTTCCAATATGTTTTAGCATGATTCAGAGAGAAGCACTGACATATTGCAGTTAATTAAGAGACTAGCCATCTATCTTTTTAGTCTTATAAAAAAAGAGCATAAAATAGGAACTGCTTTCTGAAGACTTCTATCTTGCTGTATGAGGCTGAGGAACATACTATGTGCTTGCAAATCTTAGAAAAATCTCATAATTTTCAAATGTGAAAATAAAAACACCTACTATAACAGATACCATGAGTAAGTTGCGTAAGAGATTTAAGAAATAAAATGACAAGATATCCAAAAACAATGGCCAAAATGAGCACGAGCATATGTGTACGTACACACGTACACACACGCACACACAGTGAGTAAAGCAAGCGAAAAAAAAGTTGATGAAATAAGTATATCTGTTGAAACTGACCCCTGGGTTATAAACATACATTTTAAACCAAAGGCCAGCATATAATACAGTCATTCCTCTAAATAACATAAGAAAAAAATAACAAGGATCCCTATTTTCATCACTCTAACTCGCCATAGTAGTTTTTCAAGAAGAAAAATGGAGTATAAATACAGAGAAGGGGAAAATTAAAATAGTGATTGTGACAAGAATGTTCATTCAACAACGAAAACTAATTGCGTGCCTAGTTAAGTCCTGTTAAGTCCTGTTTGTTCCAGGCGCCGTGATACGTCAAAGAACAAGGCAAGACTGCTCTCACAGAATTTAAAATTTTAAGGGGAAAAAACCAACAATAGACAACAACAAAAAGCAAATAAATGAACAACAGAATTTCAGGTAGTTATGAGTGTTTCATGAAGAATTAAAATAGGATGATTTGGCATGTTGTGGAGAGGGAAGTCAAGATTTTTATTTTGGCATAATTCATAACTAAAAAAAATCTATGGAAATTCATAAAGTTTCAGTCAAGCAAGATAAATAGCTCTAGAGACCTGCTGTATTAATATTGAAACTACAGTCAATAATAATGTATTGAAAACATTTGTTATGAGGGTAGATCTCATGATAAGTGCTCTGGGTTATACAGATAAACACACACACACACACACACACACACACACACAAAATTAACCAAAAAATTTAGAAACAGTGAATTCAGCAAACTTGCAGATATACAATAAATTCACCAAAAATAATTTGCATGCCCCAATGCTTAAAAGAAGAAAGACTACGTATTTAACAGTATTAAAATTCATTAAATTCATGAGTATTAATATAATTTGGGATAGGAATTTCTCACCTAGGTTGGATATTCTAAAAGAAACAAAAGTGAGAGGATTAAGTAAAGCCATAAATTATGTTCCCAATTTTAAAACTTATACACCAATTGAGATACCTGATATAGCTTGAAAATATCAATAATGATTTGGAAGAATAAGCTGGCAGAAATATCAAAGGCTATTATTTTGAAAAGATAATGTATCTTACCAGATTTTAAAAGCGAATAAAAAGTTGAATTATCAAAACCATATGGTAATGTGTTAAAAATAGGAAGGCTGAAAAATAGACTTGAATTCCAAAAAATGCATTCCAACTACTACAAGAAACTATTTTATAACAAGACTAAAGCAGCCAAAGCAACGGAGAACTTGATCTACCAGCTTTAAAACATAAGTATTATAAAGTCACATTTTTTCATTCAATAACGGTTTTTATAAATACAATATATGTAACTGAATTTAAAAGATCCTTCTTGCTGCTATACAGAAAATGATATGGACAAGGATAAAGTGAAAGTGAGAAACAAGATAGGAGACTACCGCAGAGGGCCAGGCAAGAGAGTGTGGCAGTGAAGATGGAGGTGTGAACGGTTTTACGTGGATTTCTGTGGTAGAATCAGCAGAATATGTGGACTGATTAGATGTTATCGGTAAGCGGGTCAAAGATGCCTCCCACTCATCAAGATTGTTCTTAAAGGAAGATGATGACATTTACTAACAGGAAAAAAACAGAAGAAATGTATATTTGATGGGAAAAGTCCAAAGTCTCAATAAGTAATGAAAGGATAGGAAATAGAAAGATCGATGGAACAGAACAAAGTCCAAAAAAGACTCTACTATATAATGGAATTTAGCATACAACATAAATGGTATTTCAAACAAGGGGGGGAGACAGGGGCATAAATTATTCAGAAATTACTGTTGCTGCCAAATTAGAGAGGACGGGGATTGGAGTCTTGCCTCACAACTCACATCAAAATGGATTCCAGATGAATTAAGATCTAAATCTAAAATAACGATTGTAAAAGTGAAGGAAAATATTGTAATTTGATTTTACTCAAATTTCTATATTTTAAAGTGGCGAAAGGCTCTTAAAGTATGCCAGCATGGTAAAACACCACAAAGAAAAAAATACTAAAATTACAACATAAATGTTTAAAACTTCAGAATTGTCGGCGGGGGCGGCAGGGGTTAAATGGCAAAGTAAAAACTAGGAAAAATGTTTCTTATACATTTAAAAAAAGAGTTGTGATGAATAACATTAAATAGCTTATTTAAATCAATGGAAAAAAACAGACAACTAAAAAAATGAGCAAACACAACAAGTAATTCACAAATAAACAAATAGCCAATAAATATCCTAGGCTTTCAACCTCAATAATTCAAAATACCTGATTAATTTTCTACAAAAAGATTACAAGGACAGGCATGCATCTACTATTTGGGTCCGTTCACACAATCAAATGTGCAGCAAACTACAGATGGGAGAGTGTAAGCTGCTAAAATTTTTTCTGAAAGGCAATTTGCCAATATGTATCAAAAGGCCCCCAGATAGAATATATACACTTTGATTCATCAATCCTACATTTAAGAGTTTATCCTAAAGAAAAGATTTTTTAAAATTTATGTATAAGTTTGGTCACAGCGTGTATATAATAGTAAAAATTGGAAGCCATTGAGATTAACTGAATAAAACCATTAAAAGTGATGATGCAGCAAATCTGTATTTTTGGCTTGAAAGATGCTTTTATACTGTTAGTGAAAACAGCAGGTATGGTAGGATTCCATGTTAGTTTAATATTACTTATACCTATAAACAAACATGTTCCTCTACATTAAGAAGAGTCTTAAAAGACAGAACTGTTAACTCTGCATAGTAAGATTATGGTCAAGTTCACTTTGTTATTCATCTTTTCCATAATATCTAACATTTTTTTTTACAATATATACAACACATGTGTGTATAAAAACATCTAGAACATAAAAGTATTATTATGTATGCATCAGTGAAAAAAAAGAAAAAACAATCAACAAACCCAAAGATGCTCAACCTCATAAATAAGGAAATGCAAATTAAAGACATAACTTCACATCTATCTACTTAGCAAAAATTAGTATGTCTGACTGCTTCAAATGTTGGTGAGGCTATAGAGAAACAAATATTCACATATACTGCTAGTAAGAATGTGGATTTGTACAGCCACTCTGAAAGATAATTTGTACACAAAAGGAGATGTGTCAGGAATGTTCACCACCCTTTGCTTACTAATAGCAAAAAAAGTGGAAATAGGAAAATGGTTATATAATAGAAGGCAAGGAATTCTAGGCAGCTGCTAAAAAGAATGAGGTCTCTAAATTAATAACCTGAACAGAATCTAAGTCTGTGATATTCACATTTATTATCTTTAAAACTGAAAAAGCTACTCCAGTCACAACTGAATTACAATCAAGAGATTTTACAAGTTAGCTCTGGACAGTTCAAATGACCGCTTAACTTTGGCAGCTCCCAGCTGCAGGCAGCCACCAGAGATAATGGCATAGTATGAACGAGGACAAGGAAGACCCCTCGCCATCTTTCAGGTCTTGTTTATAGATCACACATGATCATTCACAGTGAATACACTCTCTCAGTAGCAGCATGACACTTGAGACATGTGACACAAAAGCTTTATCTTCAACTGTAGTAATGTTCACCACAACAATCAACTGATCTCCTAGAAACTCTGAGAAAGGATACTAGAAGCTATATTACCACTTCTTAGGTAACCAAGAGCCTTGGCTTTCAAACTTTATTGATCATGACCATAGTAAGAAACATTTTACAGTGACATCCAAAATAAACACCTACCCACACACTTATGTAAAACAAACTAAAATTTCACAAAATGATCCTTAAAACTTACTAGATGACTTGCGCTCTGGTTTCTTTTCCCATTCAATTTCATTTTACTTAAAATGCTGGTCACAACCCACTAAAACTGATTCTAGAACCCACTAATGGATTTCAATCCAATCTGAAACAAAAACTGACCCAAAAAAGCAGGTATTTAACCTCTCACCATTCTATCTCCCAATGCCACCACCGTTAATCTGCTACCTTGCTTTTATTCAGGCCATCCCATCCACTTGAATTGCCTTCCTTACTCCTTTCCCCCATATAAATCTTTTTTTTTTTTTTTTTTACAGTAGAAAAGAAGTTTTATTAGAAGGGAAAGATGTAGAAGCAGCCCTGAGTAAGAAGCACGGCTCAAAAGGCCCAATATAAATCTTATTAATTCTTCTAAACCTACCTAAAATCCCAAATTAATCAGTTATTTCCAGGCATAATCTCTTGAAATGATCTCTAATTCTAAACTCTTAAAGTCATAATGATCCAATCAATTCACCTGTCAATTAATATTTTGTGACATTTACTTTGTCTAAAATTAGTGTTCAAATCTTATAATTGAAATCCGTTTTCATAATCTTACTGAGGGCAAGGATTACTCTTATATTGATTTATAACCATTACTATATCTTAGTAATGCCTCACACATAGCAGTATATGGATTTTATTTCCTTCTAAGTGCTTTAGCTTATCTGTTACCTCTTAAGAGTTCAGAAGAAAATGTCATCCATGATAAGCTACAAGAGTATTTTATTTTGGCAGAGACCTAAAGTAGAACCAAGAAAAGTATTCTATAAATCACCATAGCACTTCGATGAAATAACTATTGAATAAACAGTCTGACGAAAGGACAATTAAATTCAAAGTTCTCAAATTTCCCTAGAAAAAAAGTTTACCTGTATGGTGAGGCCTGGGGCCAGGACGTTTAAATCCTTCTGCAGTGCTTGCTTCAGGTTTTCATCTATTTGATCTGTTTTTTTGAAGCCAAAAACAACAGCTCTCATAACACTCAAAAAATTTTGTTTACATTGTATTAATACTGAAACAAAACTAATCATTATTAGACCTAAAGTTTCCATGGTACCACCCTTTTATAGACCTTAGAATACTTCACATATATAAAAACAAACTATATATGTACACACATATATGAATATATACATATATTTAGTTTTCCTGTTGTGTAGGAGAAAATGAGGAATTATCGAACAAAGAAATTAAGATGACAAGTAGCTATTCTAAATTTATCCAATAAGTGGAGAATCTAGGTCTCTAATATCTTCAGTGTTGTTACTTAATATGTGTCTTGATTCTTTTTTTAAAAAAACATGAATTCCTATCTTTGATCTTTACTCAAAAGCCCCAAATAACTAAATTTCATCTCCACAGACCACTGCCATTATTTTGGATTTAAAAATAGTGGGAAAAAAGACTCATGGACAATAAAGATGTCACTTCAGTTGGCCTTTTAACTCATGAATTTTCGATCCACCTCAAAAGTACTTTTATCTTCATTAAAAAGACTGGAGAAGTGACAAATCAGGACAGATAAGTTTTCTCATACACCATCCAGTAGTTGTCAATTATCAATGAGGAATCAATTGGTGGATTTCTAAATTGATTAACCATCCCTATGCCTGCCTCTAAGAAATTCACTAAGAATTGCAGGAGGAAGAAGTGAGCAGCCAACAGAAACAACCCACTCCCTGGTTAGAACGTTCACTTCTAACTTGTGCAGAAAAGAGTTAACAGCAGGCCAGAAGCTATGGTCCTTAGAAAAGCCTGTTTGCATGTTGTTCTTGGCTGTCACCTGGGAACTTAGATTCAAAGAGGATTCCCACTATTCCAGAACTGATAAGAATGACTCACTGTGCCTAGTTATCTAAACAATGTGGTTTATGCTGAATACCTGCTTTCCTTCTAGGAGTCTGAATGTGTTAAGCCAAGAGTCCAGAGTGCCTATATGACCAGAGTCCAGTAAAAAAAACTGGGCTCTAGTGACCTTCCCATGTAGACAACATTTCACGCTGGAGTAATTAAGTAATCTGGACTCTTAATGAGCCCAGAATTTCAGTTTTGTAAGATGAAATCCACCAATTGATTCCTCCTGTGTGACTCCACTGGGAGAACACTCTTGAAAGCTTGTGACCAGTTTCCTTCAGACTTCACCCATGTGCCTTTTCTTTTCACCGATTTTGCTTTGCATCCGTTTGCTGTAATACATCTTAGCTGTGAGTACACTATACACTGAGTCCTGTCGGTCCTAGCAAATCATCAAACATGAAGGTGGGTCTTGGGAAACTGCCAGACACAGACTTCTAGATTTCCTCAAATTATCTACTAAAATAGCAACAAAGCTAATTTTTAGTAAGTTATAGTTAGAATATAGTCTGTAAGTAATGATCTTTTTCCAAATTCTACCAAGTTATATATTATGCATTTCAGAAAATGGTTATCACCCTTAAAATATCTTGTCTGAGTAACTATTAATTTAATCATAGGAAATGTTAAACTTAAGAAATATTTTAAAGACAACTGCTCTATAGTCAGAATTGCTCAAATAGTATGTTTACTAATATTATTATAGCATCCATAAACAAGTTGAAAAAGATTTCCAATTGGTTATTTACATGTTTAAAACAAATAAGACACTTACCAAACAATTCAATGTAAACTTCTTGAAGTGTGTGGGCACTACAGAACTGGTTCAATTCATGGTGGATTTTATTGAAGATTAAGGTCTTGTCGTAATCTGCAGTGTAGTTCCTCACGATATCAAAAACTGAAGGAGAAGTACAATCCATGTTTACCCATTTATCTTCTAATTCAGCCAAGGTAAAAGTTATAGTGATATACTACACGTGCAGAAAGGTGACAACAAAAAACAGTGAAAACATGGAACACAACTCACAAACCTTGATGTGTTCTTCATGCTCAATTTTCCAGACATTATTGCATTTGTAATTCTAATGGTCAAACTTTGAATTCTATACTAAGGAGAATATACATATCTTGGAGGTAATAAGGAACTGTCAATGTTTTCAAGTGAGGGCATGACACACAACCATATGTATACTTTGGCAGCGGTATGAAGATGAATTATGAGGCACAAAAATCAGAGGCAGAAAAGTGTAAGGCAATTACTGCTAAGCAAAAGTTTAGCTAAGAGGTAAAGAGGGCCTGAACTAATTGAGGAACAGTAGGAATAAAAAAAGGAAGTAGCTGCAAAAGACCATTTTCAAAAAGACAGTTTTTAAAGGCTATAAAAAAACCACCACTACCAGGCTAGAAGGGAAAGCAGCTAACATTTAATGGGCCAGGCTTTATGTCAGGTAATTTGTATATATTAGCATTTAATTTGAACACACACAAAAAAATCCAACTGAGGAAACCAAGAATTTCAGAGATGTACCTAAGGACACAAGCTAGACCATACCAGAACCCATGCTCTGCCTATTAAAAAATGCTGCTTTCTCCCTTCAGACCCAAAGACTTGCTCCACTGGCCTTCCCTTGATGGAGAGGCCATCAGTAAATACTTGCTAACTAACTAATTTGCTTGGTCATTTCCAAATAAATTGGTCATCCAACAGTTTCCTCTTTATCTCTGGCTAGAGAACCAGCAATTTCTTCTGTTTTTCCGAAAACCATAATCCATTCCACTGACTTATTACCAGAGAAAGCAGATGAAAAAAACAAGAAAAATACTTAACCACTGAAAAATATAATCCAAATCCACTTGACACTAATACAATACAACTTGCTCTCTGCTCTGAAATCCTTTTGTTATTTGTGCTGGTTCCAGTGACATGAAATTTAGCATGAACTTACATTCCAATATATATTTGGTATCACATCAAGTAAAATAAAAACTCCTTAGGACAAAAATTCTAACTTCACCTTTTTAAATTGTTTTTGCTGAATACAGTATCGTGTACATACTAAGCATGCCAATTTTAATAATAAAGATAAAATGGCAGATCTTTCCATTGAAAGCAGGGTCTCGAAGTGCCCCATGTACACTCATGTTCATAGCAGCATTATTCACAATAACTAAAACATGGAGGCAACCTAAGTGTACACTGATGGATGAATGGATAAGCAGAATATGCTGCACACATACAATGGAATATTATTCAGTCCTAAAAAGGAAAGCAATTCTGATGTATGCTACAACATGAATATTATGCTAAGTGAAATACGCCAGTCTCAAAAGACAAATACTGTATGATTCCACTTATATAAGGTACTTAGAGCAGTCAGAAGCATAGAGACAGAAAGTAAAATGGTAGTTGCCACAGTATGGAGAAAAGGGGAAAGGGGGGTTATTGCTTAATGAGTCCAGAATTTCAGTTTTGTAAGATGAAAAGAGTTATGGAGATGGATGATGATGGATGCATAACAATCTGAATATACTTAATGTCACAGAACTGCACACTTAAAAATGGTTAAGATGATAATTTTATGTTGTGTATTTTACCACAATAAAAAAAACTGGGATAAAAAAATCAAACATAAAAAAAGCCGATTTTCTTCAGAAGTTCTAATTAAGTTTTTGATTTGAACAGTATCAACTCCATCTCTCTGGGTTTTCATCTTTTACCAAGAAAATGTTTTTCCCACACTAAGGACTTTCATATTGCTTTTCAAGTTATAGTAAATCTCAACTAGAAAAAAATTTTCCTATGGTCACAAATCAATGTGGCCCAGAAATTGATCTGTTATAGATTTTCAGCATGCAAGAAAACTATGTCTCATCCTGACAGGATAAAATGCTACTGTCCAGAAATTCTAGAGATAATCAATGACTGACTTGCTCTTTAAAAACAAAGACTAACCCACACAGTTGCAGAAAGTCAACTCTGTTCAGGACTTGTGACCTATTGCCACTATTCCCTAGAAATGAAGAAGATTCCAGTGATTCTTTTCATACCTATCAGAAGTGAATGAGGTCATAAAACTTTAAAAGTTCCTCTCTATTCCTCAGGGAATCTCTCAGTTATAAATATTCTGATCATAACCATAAAAACGACAGAATAGATCAGTACCATACCTGCACAAGGAGCCAACATATTAACCACTTCTATTCGGTCAATATAGATCATGACTCCACCACTAAAATCAAAGAAATGGAAAATGTGTGAGCCGAACACTAATCTATTGTAATCCAAGATCATCAGACATATCACATATGATAGAAATTTAAAAGGAAAATCTAAAGACATATACTGCTGACTCATTAAAATGACCCCACTAATTACTACTCAAATAACCCTATGCACATACTCACCTGCTCCTCTCATAACTAAAGGCTCACCTCTGTAACTGCTGTGATCAAATTAGCTCACATGAAGACTAAACCTATAAACCTAGAACTACTTAGTACTTTGCCCTTACTAACTGAAAACAGCTAAAATAGTGTTCTTCTCAAACTCTTCCATCAAGGAATCAAGTAAAATGGTTTTCCAGGAAGTATGGAGGCCAGCCACAGTCTGAAATTCTTTTGGTTTCCTGCCTTATCTGAATAATTCATCAAGAGTTTTAATCTAGTTTTTAATCTGTATTTATTTTAACATGAAAAAAAGAATTCCCTCCCATACCTTCAAGTAAAATTGACACTCCTGAAAGACAGGTCTTGTTAATTAACGGCTTCCTATCCTGAGAGCATGTGAACCTCAATTTAAGGTATACGAAGTTAGAGATTTTAAAACTAAACAACTAAGCCTTCCTACCAATTTACAATGCCAGTTTTTTCCTCATAAAAAAGGGCAATACCTGCTTACTAAAAATAATCTGAGAGCTATAAGAAAGCATGAAGATGAAAATAAAATTTACCCAAAATCTCACCAGCTGCCAATTTTGAGTCATCTCTAATGAGAATCCATAAAACAGAGTTAAAGACAGACCTAGGGAGAACTTGATATCAAATATCAAATACCTTAAAACAGGAAATACGCTCCCTTCTAAAAAGCATTTGTCTTCCCATAGATGTCAATCCCTCTTTTATATAGGCTTGTAATAATGATACTTTTTAGTCATTTGTAATAGAGCATTTAAAACATACCTTCAACTTTGCATTCTTCTTTTGATATAATTCAATGTACTGGTTATACTCTAGAAATAATTTGGGCCTTGCTTGCCTGTCTCTCCCTAAAATTCTTTAGGGTGCAATTTTTCAAAGTAGGGTCCTCAAACCAGCAGCATCAGCATCACCTGAGAACTTGCCAGAAATGCAAATTCTCAGGCTTCGATCCAGACCTACTGAATCATAAACTCTAAATTAGGTGGCAGGTAATACTACAGATGACACGGTGAGATGATTTCATTTTAAACTGTTACTGAGCCCTTACTCTGAGTCAAGTGCTTTATATACACTAATTCTAATCCTTATAATAACTCTGCAAAGTAGATCTTATTACCTCATTTTTACAAATGAGGAAACTAAGCTTAGAAAAGTCAATAAAGGCACGTGTAGCGGCAAGGAGTATATGGGAACTCTGTACTTTTTGCTCAATGTAGCTATGAACCTAAAAGTGCTCTAAAAAATAAAATGTGTTTTTAAAAAATTCCATAAAGCAGACGTGGCAGTTCTGATATTCGCAGTTAGGTCTGCTGGCTCTAAAACCCGATTTTTTTCAATAGCACCCTAATAACTCCTAAGACGGAAAACTCCTATTTGGAGATAGGGCTTTCCTCAAATATTGCTTAGAAGAGAAATCTCCCTAGGTTACTATCATGCCTATTTGGAAAATGTTTAAGTGATCACAATTTATCAACAGAAACTCCATCAGAACTAAAGGGAGGTTGGTAGGTGAGGAGAAAGCTTACCTTGTCCCGCAAGGCACATTTTTAACTTCATCGGTTTGTAATGTTGTCTGGGGAGGAGAAAATATCTCATCAATACTCGGGATACATACAGTCAAAGAACTACTGGTCCCAGAGGAAAACCTCTGGAGAACTGCTGAGACGTAAATAAGGAGCGCCGTTACAATTTCAGTCACCAAAGATTAGCTATCACGGTAATTTCTTTCTGTATCCTAGTAGACATGAAAGCCTTGAGACAAAATATTTTATAGCTAATGTTTGAATCAGGATGCACTAGAAAAGCTTCAATGTCTAATCTAAAAGTTTCAATTTCAAACCTTTCGGAGTCTCCTTATTTGTCTGGAGCTGCTGGCCTGGGATTATAAATTACATGCCCTACCCACGAGGATACTACTGTTAGGACTTGTGCTCTGAACTTTGATTCCACTATCATAATGAAGGTAAAAGATAACTATTATATGCATACGACTAGTCTACGATTCAAAGGTACCCTTGAATTCAACAGCAACTTTTTCCTCTAAAATTAGTCAATATTTTAGTTCAAACCCTACTGATCTCAAATTATCTGTTGGATTTCCTTTTTAACAGAGGTGCCACGACGACCACTGCTTTCTCATAGGGAACCAACGATCTGGTACGTAATTACTGTGCCCCTATCACACCTTTGTCGGATCCAGAATGACTTTCTACTTCTCTCTAAGACCTCCAATAAGTGAGCACCTAATGAGTGTGTTCTAGACATACTACACCTTATTAAGCACACGGCAACATATGACTTCATGGAATACAAAGGAAAAAGGAAGCATGGTCCCTGTTCCCAAAGTGCTCACATTCCAACACAGGAAATAAAATTCTTATAAAGCAATCCATACCAGATATAAAATAACAGAGCATAAATTGAATTGTTAGGCATTAAGTGGCAGAGAGTAAAACAATCATTTGAAAAGCTCTCTGAGCTAAAGTATTTATAAGCCAGGTCTAGAGGGAAAGAAATAAGAACAGATAAGGCAGAGAAACATCTTAGGTTCAATGAATATTCTATTCAAATACTCAAAATTGAGGACAAACTGTGTGTACAGGCGACAGGAAGCAGACTGGCTTGCCTGAAGCAGAAGGGACGATATAAATGAAAGTTGAAATTCTGAGAACATGGTGATTCAGGTCAAGTGCTCTGAATATTTGCTGGGGGGCTTGGGCTTTCCCTGGTCCATCTCATATACAGCCTCAAAATAAGCCTTTCAAAAACATGTTTTTTCCTTAATTCCTTTGCTTATATGTGGTGCAGTTCTCATTATCCAGCACATCTAGAGGCAAGAAAACCAGCTGGGAAGCTAAAGCATTAATTTATTTAGGCTGATTTAGTGAAAGCCATGGAAACTGAAAGCTGTCAATACAGAAGACATAACAGAGGAAGGCTTTAGTAAGTGACTGCATACAATATTCCAGGAGGGAAAAGAATAGAATTTAACTCTAGGGTTGAGAGATTAGAGTGATGGTAAATATAGTGACAGGTTCTACGTAGAGTGGATGAAGGGATTAGTGAAGGCTACATCTTCTAATGAGTTCCAAAAATTCCTAAAAATAATTTTACGTCTCATTCATATAAGAACAATTTCTTAAAAGAGTTTTATTAATATAATTCTTTTCTAGATGTTACTGTTTCACATATAAAAAAGAGAACATTCCTATTTAGTCACACTGGCTCCAGCATTTAATTTTTTTGTAAATGCAAAGTATATTAGTTTACACTGAAAATTTTTTTACTGATTTCATCTCCATTTCTTGTTGAGTATGACAGCTTAGTGTGTGTGTGTGTGTGTGTATACACATGTACTGTATACTGCACTTGTTACATATATCTCTCCATTAGTATAACTCAACATACCAAACTCCAAGAACGTAGAGACATATTTGCCTGGCTTTGAACAGATCTAAAAAAGCCCATCATTTCTAAGGGCCTGATAATGCCATTGATAACATCATTATAGGTTGTTTGGGCTGTTGGTGAGGTCATGTAATTAAAACCCCTTTTTTCATGAAAGAATAATAACTTGAAGTCTAAAGCAGTTAAGTGATTTTTGCAAAGTCATGTAACTAATTGGTGCTAGAGCCAGAACCTAAGTTTCCAAGTTTCTGGCCCCACACTCACTACACCATACTGCTTTCACAAGTAGAAAGGTCAGAAATATAAATGGGTTATGACCCCTGCCTTCTGGAGACTTTCTGGAAAGAAAATACACACAAAAACTTAGAGAACAATATAAGACGACATTATTAAAAGAAATAAGAGCAAAGGCCAAAATTTACAATACAGACTTTAAGAGCTATTGATTAGAAGAGGGATTTGCAATGAGCCTTAAGAAGGCTGGCAAGATTTAGACAGGAGAAAATGAAAGAGAGATGGGGAGAGAAGAAGTGACAGCAAGAACCTAGGTAAGAGTGAATAAAATAAAAATGGGAAAACTATGAAAATCAGTCTGACTAACAGAAGAACATATTTCATTTAAACAGACACAATTCTTGCTCTAAGCCATCTAAAAGAGAATTGGAAGAAAACCTGGAGGATTTATGTATTCGTAATAAAACTCTCACTTAGCAGGAAGCTTGGACTTAAATTACAAGATTAAATATATTAAATTTTCCTAAATCCTGAAAAATTAGCAGCAGATTGTAAACACACTTCTGAATCCAAAGATTCATGATCACACCGAGCATGCAAAAGTAGTCACAATTTAATCTTGTTTTGTCATCTTATGTCAAAAGATATTTACTAAGTGTCTCCCATGGCCAAGACACTGTTCTCAATGATCAGAATGATTTCAAATATTCTGGAAGGCTATCAAAATAGAACATTCACTAAAAACATTCACATAAAATTGTGTTTAATGTCCCAGACAAAAATGTGAGGCAAAAAAGCTGTGTATAAAAATTCAGATCCACTGTTAACAGTAGTCCAAGAGCTTGCCTCTATGGAAACCAAACACTCTTGTAAACCAAGTAATCACTGGTTTGTATTTCTAATTGTGTTCTGAAGTCCTGCTTTTATTTTGATAGCATTAACAGAAAACCTGTTGCATATCACTATAGAGATGGGAAAAGTGAGTTCTTTCAAGCTGCCTAGCTCTTACTTCTAATATACTTCAAGAGAGTGAGGTGATTCAAAATCACAACTTGTGCTGTGACACAACTGTACTCTGAACTTTAACGCCTGCATTTAAATAAATACCACCATTTGCTTAAGCGATAATGAAATTTTTCTCCACCCACAAATGTGATAACTGTTCCTGCCACACCTGTCTATCCAGTGTAGAGGCTTCCCTAGGAATCACTCACCTGCACAGATCTGAACGTAGTAATGAAAGGCAACATGATATGATAGCCTGGTCCACTGGGGCTAGTTAGTAACGCTCCTCCCCTGCAAAAAGATGTTTCAATTTCACAAGATTATAAAGAAAAATTATCTTTCCAAATTTAAAATGCTACAACATTCCTCTTACTCATGCTATTGACTTATTAAAGCCTCACTAATATGAATTACTCATGACGAACAACAGCTGGTCCCTAAAATAAATGCCAGAGCTAAGAAGGTGAAAAAAAAAAAATCACATTAAACTGCCAGCATTACATCTTGTTTCATAAGCCTGGCCAACCATACCTCTGGGTCTCCAGCACTGCTCTCAGGTACAGAGGATTCTCCTTGGTCTTTAACCATATGAGAAACACTTTGAAAAAAAATTCTAATGGCTCTTAGTTGCTATACTTCGATTGTACACAACACAAGTCAGTTCAAAACATAATATATTTAATCATGAGGTTGAAAAAGAAGGTAACACAAACTTTCAAGGAAGGAGAAAACTTCTGAGGCTCAAGATTCTTCTAATCTACCTACCAGGCAATTAAAGTACTGGGGACATAAAGTCTATAAAAACAACAAAAAATTAGCATGGACAGATAAAGGCTGAAGGAATAAGCCTATAAATAGATAGGATATAAGTGTGGACTTGTTCACCAAATTCTGGAAATTACAAAAAGGAGGCATTTGGGGGCAAATATATAAAAGAAGTCCTATTTTAAAGAGTGAAGAGTAACTTCACAGTACTTAGCTTTCTATCTTGAAAATACAGTTTTGTAAAGAATTCATAACAAAAACTAAGAAACGAACTGTTTGAAGTCTATCCCTAATGCTTTGAAAGCCGTACCTTAAAAAGTCCTTTCCTTGGTTTCACTACCAGGAAGACAATTCTGAACTAGATGGAAATATGAACTAATTTGTCTTTTTTTTTATGCTAGACCTCCATTTGCTAAAACATTTCATCAAAATTGTTATTTGAAACTAGCATTTCACAGGGAAGGCAGTTTCTAAGACTCAGGATGGATCTAAAAGTAGAAATATTACTTTGGAGGGGATGATGGAAACAAGCAAAAAGTTGAAGCCCTTTCAAATACATCATTATCAAAACTGTCCTTTGTATCAAAAGGAACAGGTGGTACTATGTTGAAGGAAAAGCTTTTAGAGCTCAACTAGAAAGCAACACATTCCTTTCTTCAACTTTAAAAGAAAGGATAAGATGGGAGGAGGGTGACCCATCAATGTTCTGTTTGTATCTCTTGCGGTCCAGGGGAGAGATATAAACAATTGTCATAGTCATCATGTTTTGACCTTATAAGCCAAAACCAGACACTAAGGGCTTTTAAAGGGGAAAAAAATCTAAAGAACCATCACAAACAGGACTAGTTTCTAAATAGCACCTAAAGCTGCAAACTGAAAGCCTGTACAAGTTGTATGGAATACAATGATTTATCCAACTCTTCCGTCACAAGTAGAGTGACTGCTGCCTTCCTTAATTTTTTCTACAAATAATTGAGCTTAATGTCTACTAGGAATAACTGTAGAGACTTTCAACCTCTGCACAAAATGTACATAGCATTGAAACTGTCCAACACCTTGAGGGTGCTCTGCAAAAGCCTGCCTTGGCCCCCATACGCTCCCTAGGGCTGGGACGAAAATCGCTTCCTACAACTGGAGTGGGCTCCCCTGGACGCGACAGAAGGAACAACTTCTAAGACACTACTCCAGGAGTCCTCTTTCTACCTGCTCTAGTACCTTAACTGACTGCACATGCTGCTCACCTGTAGTACACAGCCAGATGTCCTTCTTCGATCTTGTGGATGGAAGCGTAGAGGACGACAACTACGAGACCCACCACTGCAGCGACCAGAACCCGGGCTTGAGTCATATTCATCCTTGTTCCTCCTGAATAAGGGAGGAAAGGACCCCTCGCCCCGTAAGTGACAGGCTTACCCCCTCTAGTTTCCACCCTCTGCGTCCAGACAACTGGCTCCCTCCCGCAGGCCGAGCCGGGGAGTCCTGTGCCCCTTTTCCCTCATTCTTTCCTCCTCGCAGAACCCGTTTTCCCCTCGCCAACTCCTCCGCCGGAGGCGGTCCATGGGCCGCCCCTGCTCGGTAAGCGTCGTGACACCCCCGCTCCCCGGGACAGAAGGCACTAACTGAGAAGGGGGCCAGCCGTAGAGTTCGGAGGGACGCCCACCCTTCCGCAGCACCTCACCGATCAGTGACGCATCGCCCCCGCCCGCACGTGCAGCCAGCTCCCGGGCCGCGCCAACCGCCGCCAACAACCGGCCCCGCCCACTCGCCCGGCACTGCGGCTGCGCAGGCACGCAAGCCGACGCAGGGATCGCCGGGCGACCAAAGGGACGGGGAGCGAACAGGACAAAATTCTCCCAGATATCTACCGTTCACTATTCCGTGAAGGTACGTGTGCTCTTTTCCGTGCACTGCTGGTTTCCCGCTCGGGAAGAGAAGAGAAGTCGGCAATAGGGAGTAAGCAGGGATGCAGAGAAAAGAGAGGGCCTCTGAGGACAAGGAACTGGCCAATTTGTTCTTGTGCGGAGAGCCATTCCCTCACTCAGTGTGGTAGCTGTTCCGTTTGTCATTTTGTGGTTTATACCGAACTCTGTGTGGCAAGCACGTGTTTCAGTCATGGATTCTGCACTGAATTCAGGAGCGACCAGACTTGTTGCAAGTGAAGTGGAAGTTCAGAAGAGGAAGATATTCAGTCTAGCCGCATATTCACAAATCACGTATTTTCCTGAGCACTTGTTGGACCAGAATTGCTGATCTAATGAGGGCTTTATGAGGGCTATCCAAGCAATAGGAATGGGCGTCCTCCAGGAAAACGAAAAATAGGGAGCATTTGAGCTTACTTGAAGCAAGTATGATGGAAAGGAGTGGGATGGTGGGCTAGGCCCAGATTCTGAAAGGCTCAAATATACTTTTTCTGCAGGGACCAGGTATTGGATGGCCAGAGAATGAAAAGAAACAGACTTCTTCACTGTATATTCTTCTGTTCTTTTAAACTATCATTATGTGCATATATTACTAAAAACAAAAGGGACACAGTTGAGTAGAGAAGGGAGTGAGATGGATGAATACAAGGGAAATAAGGGCAGTGTATTAGAGTAGGTTGGGCAGTATGCTTTCTGTAAGCCTTGAAAGGCTAGCAACGGGAGCGTAAGTGGATGAGTACACAAGGGTTGAAGGGTCCTGTAACCTCTTGGGCAGAACAGTATGAGAAAACAGTGCTTTACGGCCAGTGAGTCTGCAAAATGGCTTAGAGACGAGACAGACTGGAGGCAGAGAACCAAGTGGTTAGGAAACTGCAGGCCCAAAGTTAGAATGGTAGTAACAGTGGAAATAGCAAAGGGTAAATAGAATCAATTCGTCTTCATTAAAGCAAGTGCTCCCAGACCACTCTGGACTCTCTCTTCAATAAGTGCACTTACTAGGAATGTCTGGGACCTTATCATTATCCAGATAAATGAAATTTGCTGAGCTTAGCTATTTTAACTTGCAAAAAGCAAAAAGAATGAAAAATGACTCATTCCAGCCCCTCTTTCAGGATGGATTCTTAGTTTTTCATAATATTGTTTGAATTAGAGAATGAAATGTATATAATTCACGACTGCCATTCAACTCTGAAAAGGTGTCACCCAACAAAAAATAGTGGTCAGCTCATGCATCAAAAGCAAGTCTGAGGAGATCTCACTATAATAATCTCTTCAGACTCACACCACCTGCCCATGTCATGTAGATCAGGCTGCCCTGATGTCCATCACCCTAACCACACACCATAAAAATGTCTCCACCCTACAGATCTTTTATCAGTTATTACAATGATATTTAGAAAATACACAAACATTTAAAAAACACTTTAACAATAATTCTAATGCTTGGATGGCTTGCAGTGTTGAGACTCTTACTGATAAGCATTCTTACTGTACTGTTAACTGTTTCTGAACTAGCCATCTAGCTCAGTATCTTCCAAACAACAGGTACCCAATAAATGTTTACTGATTAAAACCTAGAACTAGAGAAGCAAGAGACTGCCTATTTTAACAGCTGAATCAGAATTTCCATATTTAGAGAAACGTTAGTATCAGAAGACTAAAAAGTTAGAAGACAATCCCAAGGTTTCAGACTTAATGACTAGGAAAATGACACTACTAACAAAAATGAGGATGGTGTAACTAAGACATCAGTTTATAGGGCAAGATATGAGCATGGATTTTAGAAATGGATAGTGGTGATAGGACATCTCAGGTGAAGACTATCGTAAAGAAGCTACCTAATACTCTCTTTACTATAAGTCCTGTATATTTCCTAAGGAAAATACAGTCGGAGCCCATTATGTTATTTCGTGCTCCAATTCCATTTCACGGAACCTTCACATTTTCCCAAACCATATTCAACTACAGTTGACCCTTGAACAACACAGGTTTGAACTGTGTGGGTCCACTTATATGCATGTTTTTGGTTTTTTCTTTTTTCAATAAATACAGTCAGACCTTCTCATTCACGGGTTTCATGTCCACAGATTCCACAGATCAAAAATGGTACTTTTGCATTCCCAATTTTGGTTGGTTGAATCCACAGATGCAAAAAGCCAACTGTAGAGTCAAAAGTTATATGTGGATTTTCCATTGCATGGGAGTCAACACCCCTAACCAACTCATTTTTCAAAGGTCAACTGTATTCATCTGATTTTAATGAAGAGTCAAAAAGTAATTTAAAAATCATTTAATACACAAAGTGAAAAACTGTCTATAATACAAAAGCATTTCACATTTTTTTAAAAAGCAATATTTTCTAAATTACTTAAACAGGTGATATAGATCCACATCCTTTATCTGAAATTATTAGGGCCAGATGTTTCAGAATTATGAAATTTTCAGGTTTTAGAAAGACAAGTCAGTGCATATACTATACTACAGAAAACCCCAACAGTCTGTGGCAGCACCCTCTCCACCAAATATTTCTGCAGCAAAATAAACGAATATTCACACTAAATGGGATAACAAATGTCAGTTCAGGTTAGACTTGCAAGCAAATGAGTTTTGTCACCAAACTTATGAAAAACCTTGTTTTCAGAGCTTTTTGGAATTACAGATTCAGGTGTGCAGACCTTTATAAATCTTTATGATAAGACATGAAAGGTTCCTGAAACAAATGACCCATTTTTACAAATGAAAAAACATAAGCTTTCAATACATTATAAATTAACAGGCATCTTCTCTTCGATATTACTAAATGTACATCTTAAATACATATACACATAGCACACTTACGATTTATGACAATCGATTGGTATTTAAGGCACAGATGCACAATCCCTTCTGTAGGAAAGGGATACTGTCAAATGTAAGTAAAATTGAAAATGGGCTGACTCAACTCCTTATGATGCCAGGAAGAGCACTGCTGAGTGCAACACAAGGAGGTAGGGCTTATTCTTCAAAAAGTACAATTTTACTTGTAAGCAGTCTCTTCCACAGAAACAGGTAGACAACTTTTACTTAGAACACATGTTAGCTGAGGTTTCTTCTCTGTATAACTTTTGGTCTTATGCCCAAAAGTTAAATTTTAAAAGGTATTTTTAGTCAGTTAAATAAGTAATGTTTTAGCAAGTTTTAAGTTTTGGATTGCGGTGGTGCTCCTAAGTAGCTATAGTATTTAAACAAGTCCACTGAGATAAAACTCTATCTGTTACAGAGGTTAAAATTACCCAAAGTCAAAACATTTCTCTTGTAAAATCATGCGTAGTTTTTGATCACAGCCATTTCTTCCACTGAATGGTATCTGAAGAATGGTTTCATGGGAGAAAATATATTTCCAATATGGAAGCAACTTCCATAGATCGTTTGGGGACAGTGAATAAGTGCCAAGTCATTCTGTTAACCAACTCCAATCGAGATTCTAAAATCAAGCATGAAAAAGTTATAATTAGATGTTGACTATAAGTGGTATGTTTATGGGTATTCATTTTTGTAAGTTTTCTATATGTTTGGACATTTTATAAACAAAAGCTGAAAAATCAAAAGTATAAATAAGTTACAATTAGAGAGTTTGCCTTATTTTCTGCTAATTAAAAATATATTTCAAAGAGTTTTCATAAATATTTCGAGCAAATAGGAAATACAAAGAGTTGACATCGAAACAAAATATAGTAAAAGTTAATTCTGTAAACATTTTATTGTAGTTTCTCCAAGTTTTAACAAATCAGTAATTAAATCTTAACAGAAATACTTCTATTAATTACAACTATATTAACAGTATTCATCTTGTATACAGCAGTGACTTTATTTGAATTATAATATAAATCTTGCCCCATCTTATTGGAAAAAATTGACTGCTTAAGCAAAAAGACATAAACCATTCAATTTCCGTGGTCACATTTCAAAGAAAGCTCACCATTCTTTTAATTTGACCAAAAATGCCACTATTGAAGATTACTGATGATACAATCTTAGTATATCTATGAGTAAGAGAAGATGGGAATTTGAGGTCAAGTATATTCCTCAAATGCTCTCTCCTCTGAGTTCTTCTATTTCCCATATGCATCTCAAACACCAGGTAAGGTTAGCATGGGAAGTTAAAACCTTTGCACCCAACATGCCTAGAACACATATCCATATAAAACTCACCATCATTCCACTGTTCTGTTCTTCATTTGCTTCATGAATAATAGTGCTTAAATGGCCAAGACAGTTCAAATTTTCTTCTATCATTTGTGCCAAAGTCTCTCTGTGGGTTGAAAAACAAAGCCTTTCCTTTTCAAATTCAGCAAAGGGGCATATGAATTTCCTCTACTTTTTGGTCTTCAAGGTCAGGATGATCACTGCCTTTCCTGTAACTGTGCAACCCAGCACTTCAATACAGCTGATTCCTATAGTCTTCAGTTTCCTCGTCATTCCCACTCAGAGGCACAGTCCTGCTTATTATTCCAAGTGTTGCCTCTGCCCAATTCTAATGATAGGAAGTCCACTATAACTCCAATTTGATTTTCCTCTGAAACACAAGTGGCACTTATATACAATCCTACCCCTGCCCCGCTCCCCCAAAAAAAGATCCCTGTGGCACAGACAAGTGAAAGATCTCTTTTTGTTTTTGGAATATTTCCCTTTCCTTACAAGTAGTAAGAACATCAGCATGCTTACTTCAGAGACACAAAGGTAGGGGAGGAAATACAAAGGTCTATCTGTCCTGTAAAGATCAGGGAAGGTGAACTCTGGTTGGAAACTACAGATGACAGCAACAAAAAAGGAAACAAGCAAGCTGATTTCCTGAGGACAGCAGAAGAAAACAGTGTGACAGGGGAGCTGCCCAGAAATAAGAAGTATCCCTGAAAGTTTATATTTGAAGTAAATCCTGAGTCTGGTTTCCGCCTTCCATGCTTTCCTCTTCCATATGACCTCTGTCCTCACCTCTACCTACTCTCAGAGTCCCTACTAGAATCAGTTCTAGGCCATGGATGATAGCCACTATGAGCTTAGAACTAGATTCTAATTCAGCTCTTATTCAACAGATGGAAAAACTGAGGCTAACAGTTCCCAATCCTTGATGGTAAAGTACCACTGGTACAAATAACTGAAATCAATTTCCTTTATAATGTATTACTACTGAAATGTATTTAAAATTCTTGTCAGATACACTTTTGCCAACAACCACAACCTCAGATTGGAAATTACCTGTATAGAAGTGACATTTGCAACCATTAGCATCCCCTAACAAACCTAAAGCCTTTAATGAAAGCAAAAAAGGTTAGTAATGTATTAAATTTTATTTAACTCTGATTAATGGAATATTTCCTAAAGTCTGTATAATTAATCATAGCCTGTGCTGTAGCTGTGGTGGTATTACATTGGGCCAAATCTATAATGACCCCAAGATATACCCTAGAACTTGCTTTCTTTAAAAAATTAAAATACCTGATATCAGCCTGCCTTCCTGCCATGTGCTTTTCTCTCATAAAAGCAGAGTGCAGAATGTGCAACTGCATGACCTCCTGAGCAGTGATGTAACATGGCTGCACTTCTGCAAAACTAATTATGGGCAGAGCTTCGAGGAAATGCTGGTGCTGTAGAGGTCTCCATGAGTTGTGAGAAAAGCGACAATACACAAGCTAGCAAAGAGCCACTGGCTCTGGATACGGCACATCTTATGCTGAGAAAAATAACAGAAATGGATAGTCAGTCGGCTTTTAGCAGAAGAGTTAGGACTTAAAAGAAATGTAAGGCTTTAAACTTCAGTTCTTATTTGCAAAACTGATTTAAGGCATTGAAAATTAGATATTAGAAATACTAAGTTTTAAAATATATTAAACTCAACAATTTATTGGAGGGATGATCAAGGACCCCAAAATAATCAATGCAAAAAGACAGCATAACTTTTCAGAGATAAATGATTAAGAAAGGAATAAAGTTTGGGTAAAAGAACTGATGAACCAATAACAGAATTTAGGACTTGGATTGAGCTAACAATAAGTAACATCTGCTGAATATTTACTTCCCAGTGCTTTACATACATTGTCTAACGGAATTTTCACAGCAGTTCCCATTTTACAGGTGAGCAAATGTGAACAGTGAAAGTCAAATTAGTTGCACAAGGTTATTTATTACAAAGGGACAGTAGGACTGAACCCTAGTCTACACAGCACTGAAGATTGCCTTAACCACTATGTTCTACTGCCTCATTCCTACCACTGCTCTTGTGTTTACAGCTATCTATTGTTACAAAGTGAACCCACCCATCTTGAGGAGTTACCACGCATGACAGAGGATTTTCACGTTCTGCTGAAGTTGGGGGCAGCCATGCTGATGCCTGAGGGGTAGTCACTGCACCTTCTAGACTGGATCCTACAAGGGACCGGGCTGAACTCTGTGTCTGAAGGAAAATAAAAATAAGATTATAGGCTAGTACCTCCACTGATTCAAACAATTTCCTACCATATTCCTAAGACTTACATTTCTATCATTGCTTATATGCACAACCAGAGTCTTTCTGTACAAAACTACCGCAACCTTTGCATACAAATACTAACTATCCTGTCCCTGACTAAAGCCAAATGTAGATACCTATTTAATTGCACTTTAGTTGGAGGAAAAAGAGACGCAGTTGAACAAAGTGTTGGTTTTATTAACTAGTCAGGCACATCTACCCCAAATTGGGTTGGGATACCACAGTGATGTAAGGCTGGGAAGAGTATAAAAACAGGAGACTAGAAAAGAAAAGATAATGGAAAATGAAGGGTGATCATGAAGTCCTGCATCTGAACTGCTAGTCAGACACCAAGCAAAGAACACAAGCATCAACCCAACACAAAATATACAGGTCTTCAGGAGGACCCAGATCATGCTGATAAAAACCCCTTTCACAGGGAATAACAGCAAATCAATGTCACATTAATGAATTCATTAAAAGTTACTTACACAGGCAAT